ATAGAGTAGCAGCAAAAAATTAAGTTCAGCATGTATCTGTAACATGTTGCTTCCATGGAACGTAACGCTTCATGACATTGGAACCGAATTGGTGCCGCAGGATATATGAGATATGATCTACAATTGGGAAAGCCGTTTACGTATTTGTTTTGCGTGTTTGTGTAATTTGAATGTAAGTTGGGTGCTTGCATCAATCAATTTACAATTTTCAAACATAAATATTTGCAGATACTTGAAAAAATGTACTGTTCAGATACAACAAGTACACATACGCCCGCTGGTATGCAGCAGTACCAACGTGTTTGTGGTAGATCTAACTACTGGTCTGATGTGTTTAATGAGCGGATACCGCAATTCCTCTGCTTTTACCATTTCCAGCTCATAACACACAATTTGTGTAATGAGTTTTGTGGTTAATTTGCTTGTGGCCAAAGAAATGCTGCAATGGAACTGCATTAGCAACAAAACGTTGAAGTCTTACACAAGCTCAAATGAAGATAAATGATCCTTGCAACAGAAGTATAGTATGTACTAAGATGAAGTAAATTTTTAAAAATTAATTAATAACTGACATTTTTCACATTCGATATGTTGAAAGTAAATAAAAGTGCTTCTAAAGGTCAATACGTATACACAGTAATAATTTCACATTAGGAAAGTACACATTAAAAGGTTGTCAAGGCATGCATCTTTCTTAGTTTAAGATACTTTACAGTTTTTCTAATTGCAAAAGTTTGCTTAACACATACTAAGCACATTGAATGTGAAATGTCCTTCGATTTTCAAAATGTAATTAATGCTTTTTTAAAATTTATGTAAGCATAAATGCATACAAAGCAATAAGCAATGCGGATATAACATAGTAAAATTATTATAAAGAAGCAAAATTTTAAACAATGGCCAAGATGTTGTACGGATATATTTCACTTAAAACAATACCATAAATAAGTGCTGAAATAAATAACAAAAACACTTGTGAAATATGAGACTTGATTCAACTTCTCGAAATGCAACAAAAATATTGCAACAAAGTTTACAAAACCAACGAAGCGAACTAAGAAAAATTATGACAAAAACTATAATTTTCCGGCGGAAGTTGGGTTTTGCATAACATGGAGCCCAGCGGATTTACGCAGATTATACGCAAAGTTTGCCAGCTGTGAGCTTTCGCCCTATAGAGCAACTATTTACACTCAAGTTAATTTTTTTATCGTAATGTTGTGATGCAAACTTACATATGAAAAGTCAACTTAATAAATTGACAAAATACGATTTTTTCCAAGACTAACTTTTTAGCCTTTTACTTCACAAAAATTGTATATTTGTGTATTCTTGAAATTAAAAAAAGAAATTTGCTAAATGAAAATTATATAATTATAAAATGTGGAGTTATGCACAATATTTTTATGTTATAAACATTTATTAAGTTGTATATAAAGTTAAATCACTTTAACTTTATAGTTCAGTATTTGGTGTTATTAACAACCATGATCTAATAACTTATCTCAATTTAATTAAAAAATTTTTAGCATTAGATATTTTAAACATCTCATAAAAACATTATAGGCTAATTTTAAGTATACATCATATTGTCTAATCACTGCCTTACACATGATACCATAATATTAATCTATAATGGAGAACTTTCGAATAGTAGTGAACTACAACAACAAAAATTAATTTTATATTATTTTAATTAATTAAATTTTTTGCTGACCATACAACTGTTTCGAGTATTGTTTTTTATATTAATATTTTTAGCCATAAATCAAACTAAGAAATTTTTCTCAAAATAGTCAATTATACTTAAATAACACATCACTCAATATCGTGTTATATGGACTCCACTCCATCGAAAAGAACCATTTCTTATTGGTTTACTGAATTTAAACGTGGTCGTACAGACACCGATGTTGGTGAACGTTCTGGTCGTCCAATTGACGTGGTTACTCCAGAAAACATCAAAAAAGTCCAGAAATCGGTTATATCTGATCGTAAATTGAAATTGCATGAGATAGCGCAGACCGTAAAGATATCAGAAGGCAATGTGTTTACAATTATGCATAAACATTTGGCCATGAGAAAGTGGGTGTCGCGTTTACTTACAGTCGATCAAAAACAACAATGTGTTAATGATTCAGAGCAGTGTCGATATGTGACAATGGATGATCATCATCTGAGTGGATTGCAGCCGGTGAACCACGTCCGAAGCGTCCAAAGGCACAACAGTCAGCTGGGAAGGTTATGGCTTCAGTATTTCGGGATGCATATGATATAATCTTCATTGACTATCTCGAAAAGGGAAAAAATATCAATAGTAACTACTACACGGCATTAGTGGATTGTTTAAAAGCAGAAATTATGAAAAAAACGACCGCATATGGCGAAGAAAAAAATTTTGTTTCATCAAGACAATGCACCATGTCATAAGTCAATAAAAACGATAGCAAAATTGCACGCATTACACTTCGAATCTGGCTATTCGCTGATATCAAAAAATGCTCGCCTGTAAGAAATTCATCTCAAATGAAGAAGTAATTGCTGAAACTGAAGCCTATTTTGAGGTAAAAGACAAGTCTTTCTACAAGCACGGTATCGAGAAGTTATAGAAGCGTTGGAATGATTGTATTGCCCTTGAAGGAGATTATATTGATGAGTAAAATCGATTCTTGGCAGAAAAAATTTGTTTTTCTTAGTTAGTCACAAGACTTATTGAGAGATGTGTTACGTTGTCAAAACGTCGTGCTCCAAAAATAGGATTTGTAGCCTAATTAATAATTTCGTTGATAAGATCACTGCACGGATTTTTATAGTGAAAACGTTATCATTCAAATTCCTATTAAAATAAATGCATTTAATATTCGATTTTAGAAAAAAGAAACTTTTTTTACCCTTTGACAGTTTATCAGCCCCCTTAATTGAATTCAAACATTATATAATATATTATTTTTGCCTCTAGTCCAATAATATTTCATAGAAATATCATAAAAACCATGCTTGATTCTGCGTGCATTTCATAAAAAATATATAAAGAAATACATACGTATACAAACAAGAAAAAAAAAACCAATATATATATGTATTCGTATTCCCATACACACATAAAGAAATAGATAAGCAAACGCATATATGAACTTTTGAAAATAAGTATGCTATCTTTAATCTACACATATATGTTCCGGATTATCAAAATGTGTGGTATGTCCAGAGATTTTGATTTTTACCAATCTATGTAAGTATGTATATTAAAATTGAGTTGGTTTTTATTTCCACCAAATGAATTCATAATCCACTGAATTGCTCTGCATGATATTCATACTACATAATCTCAATATAAAGAACCCAAACATAGGGTTTTACATTCTCACATTACACATTACAAAAAAATTATTGAAATCAAATATTCTTCTAAACCTCTGAATCAATTTGTATAATATTTATACTAGGTTGATTGATAACTATTAAGTAGTGATAATTGATGAAACATGCGTCCATTACTTCACGCCTGAGAGAAAACAACAAGCCAGAATAAGAGTACAGTCCGAGGGTAATGCTCCCGCACGACCATGATCTCAACAATCGTTTGAAAAAGTAACCAAAACCATGGCAAAATTAAATGCCATTGCTTCCTTCCAGTGACTACTATCTGTTTCCAAATTGCAAAGATGGCTTTAGGGAAAAAGATTTGCATCAAATTATGTGGAATGGAATGGAAAACTGAGTTATATTGTAGAGGACCTGATGGATCGTATTATTTAAGAGGTATCAAAATGTTAAAAAATCGTTAAACTCGGTGTCCCCGGCCAAAAGGGAACAAATATATATTGAAGCATAAAATATAATTACTTATGATTAAAATAAAATACTTAGGCCAGGTATTTACAATCCAGCTAGTACCAGGTAATTTTCACACAAAGGGGCGAAATATATAGTAATTTCTTCGTAAACAAAAGTTTTTTAAATATTTTGAAATCTACTATATTTTTTGTGAGAGTTACTATTTTTTTAAATGTTCGTATATTGAATACACTCTAAAACACTTGTCAGATCAAACATAGGTAAAATTCTTTTTTTTTTGGGAACTCCCACGTTTAGTGATGCCACATGAAAAATGGATCCGCTGTTTACAAGTTATAAACTATTTAATTAAATTTTTAATTTTATTAGATAATTCAGAGTACCATCGCACAATTTGTCACTTTAAGTTGAAGCTTTAATTATAATTTTGCATACCATTAATTCATCTGTCCATTGAACAAAATTTGCTGTCAAAAAACTGATGTCAAATGTTAATAAAATAATATTTGATATCAGTTAAATGTAACCCATACAATATTTTTTTTCCTGAACTAAGGCATCACCTCTTGAACTTAAAGTGTTTAGAAACGAAACATCCTGTCTATGTATGAATATAATTTTAAAAAAAAATTTCTATTTCTGTTAAAAATACAGAAATCTGTATCTGTTTAATACTACAATCAAAAATGCTTAGCAAGATTAGCACTGAGTTCAGATGTGATATTATTATATTTCATATTATGGCTTAACGATTCCTGCAACCAAAAATTGAAGAATGAATATGTCCTTTTCGTCCACATACTTCGTTTCCATATTTAGTTTAAATGTATATGTAGAGTTCAGAATAAATATGTCCGGAAAGGACTGCTTAAAGTTCAAAGTGGATTATTGCAGCACAGAAATATTGTGCAATCCCTTATTGTTATGATATGCATTATGCATCATTGCAATGACGAAGAATGCATGAAATGAATATGAATGATGATGATGATTTTACAAAATCATCAATGCACATTAAATATGCAAATTTAATTTCATTTTAATAAGAGTTAAGCTCGGAAGGACAAAAAGATAACATATTTAAATGAAATTGTAATGAAATTGGAAACTCGTTACTGAAATTACTTAACATTTGTTTTATTTAAAATAATTAAATTTAATTTATTAAATATATGTGTTTTTCTTTACTTGTGCAATTGCAGATTTTTTGTTTTGGCAACTGTTCAATTGAAATCCTTGCAGCAATAAGAGACTGGGAATGAAAAACCAAAATAAAAGGAACTTAATTTTAAAATATGCAGGTAAATAAAATCATTATTTATTATTACAAAAAAAATACAGAATAAGTTTTTGTTTTTACAAACGAAAGGCAATTATAAAATTTTATTAATGCTTCAATAAGTAAAAATTAAATATTAAAAATCTACCAAAAGCTTTCCAAACAACAATTAAAGCTAAGAGTTTTGCTTTAATACAAAATTTTGTTGCTAAATTGTGTATAGCGTGCCACCCAAGAGTTTTCCGAGAAAAACCTTTTTGTTTGATTTCTTCTAAATGAAAATCAAATCAACAACAAAATAAACAAATTTATTATTTATACCAGACAAATACGGAATGAAAACAATTACAACAATTTAGGCAGAGTTTGTTGCCAACAATTGTTGCTCCTGCTGTCAATTTTTGGCAAACTCTGTGGAGCCATTAAAACCAAATTGTTGTTTCTTGCTGAAATATATGTTTTTCTTTTAGTTAAGTATTTATACAATTCGAACGCAAGTAAGCCAAAGTAAACAAATAAGTTACGAAAAACTCAGATACAAAAAGCACGAAGCGCAATAAAACAATCCAGAACATCTGCTCCGACTGGTGCCAAATGGTGTTGTTGACTGTCAAGTGGCTGACATCGATGCGATATACGAGGATGCAACTTCTGTGGTATTGATTACAACGTACATATATTGCTGGATTATAGGTGTAACCGCTTCATGCTACAGCTGAGGACGGATAATAAATATTATTTCAAATTGAAGGCTTCTCGATTGCTTGTATTATTATGAAGTGTTGATATGCTATTATTTAAATTCAGTTCGAAAATAATTTATTATTTTTATTCATGATACTCGCAATTAATGTAACAAAAAATGGTTAATTTACTTAAATTATTAAGTTTTTCATTAATTTAAGTTAATTAGACGGATTCGAATAGCAAAGAAAAGACAAGAACAAAGATTTAGTTAATTTATTAAAATTTTGCTGATCATACAACGCTGTTTCGAGTATTGCCACGTAATCATCATCAGTGGTCTTAGGAAATATACCGATTTTCTTTTTAATTAGTTTATAGTCCGTATATAATTTGTTTAGACAGTAAGTGCCAGGTTTAGAATTTCTGCCTGTCAAATTTGTAAAATTGCACCCAAAAAAAGCACTTTACATATAGTAAGTAAAAATATCCATAACAGATGTCTCTACAAAAGAAAAACTTTACAACAAAAATAGGCAACTTCAAAGATTAACTTTCAATTCATTGAATTTGTGTTTCCAAATAAAGATGTGATTTATAAGCTCGTTCTAATTTAAGCACGACAATTGCTTTGGTTAATACCACTAATTAAAATAAAACAAGTGACAAAAAACCTGGAACTAGAGCACTGAAAGTTTGTGCAGCCTTGGCTACTTGTAAAAAAAACCCGATTAGTCATCGTTTCTAATTTGATAGACACGAGTTCTAAGCCTGGCAATTGCAGTCCAAACAAATTATATACGGACTATAAACTAATTAAAAAAAAATTCGAATATTTCCTAAGAACACTGATGATGAGTATTTGGCGATCCTCGAAATAGCATTGTATGGTCAGCCAAATTTCAATAAATTAACTAAATTTTTGTTCTTGTCTTCTTTTTGCTATTTAAATCCGTCCAACTTTTAAATTGTTTCTTTTCGTTATAAAGACGCGTCACTCTTGACAAGAAAAATTAACATTCAAAGATTAATTATATTTAATAGTATTTTAACATAAAATAATATTAAACAATTAAATAAACAATTGTATTTTATTTTATAAAACCTATATGCAAATTTTTTAAAATCTGCATACATCTTTACTATTTTATTAATTTTTTTTTGTCTGCATTTCGATTTTAAATCTTGAAAAAAGTTTAATTAGTTCTTAAGTCTATAATTACATTGTAAATTTAACACTGATATTAAAACATTAATATCCGTATTCATTATTTATATAAATTTAAATTTGTCGTTATTTTAATAATAGATAATCCGCAAAAAAATTTTTAATTAATTTTTTAATTTTATTTTAATTTTTTTTATGTTTTTTTTAATTTTTTTTTTAATTTTTTTTTTAATTTTTTTTTTAATTTTTTTATTTTAATTTTTTTCTTAATTTTTTTTTCATTTTTTTTCATTTTTTTTTTTCATTTTTATTTTAATTTTTTATTTAATAGAATCTAAGCATAGTTTTATTTTTATAATTAAACTGTTGAAACTGGAAATGGTTGCTTATATGAGCTGACATAAGTCCTTTGTTGATATATCTTACGTCCAAAAACCATATCCATTATTTTTAAGTAAATAAGTTGCAAAAGTCGGCGTATGTGCAGCATTGATCTGAACTGAATGAACTCTCATAAAACTCAAAAAGTTATTAAAACAAAGAAAAGTTATAAATTAAATTAATTAATATTTAAGAAAGGAAATTTATATATAATTTACCATCTATAACTGTTACAGAAACTGTAGTGAACGGATATTAAAAATGTTCCTATATATATGTAAGAAAATTAAATCTTCTTTTCCATGAGAAAATATTATTAAACAAAAATTTGTATTATTTTTTATTCTTTATGTAAATATTTACATATAAAGTCGTTTTTTCTTGATTGTTTTAAATGTCTTAAAAGTATTTAAACAATATTTTAAGTTGATGCTGTTTTATTTGATTAGGTGTATCGTTCAGTTTCATTATAAATATTATTTCCTTAATTAAATAAAATAAAAAATATTTTTATAGAAAATATATATAAATTTTTATCTGAACCATAAATTTTAATTTCTTTAAAACAAAAAGTCAATAAATGTAATTACGAGATTTACATACCAAAATAACAAAAAAAGACTTTAGGATAGTTTTTAAAATCCTAATTTAAAATTTTTTATTTCGATTCATTATAAAAATATACATCGGTTCGGTTCCGGTTTTAACTTCGCTAAGTGAAATACTATTCCGATGTTCCGATAAGAAAAGCTATTCAATCAATGAAAAATAACAAAGCAACTAGCTCGGATGTAGTATTATCTGAAATTTAAAAACTAGTAGACAAAGTAAATATGATGCTTTAAATTAAACTATTTAATCTTGTGTTTGACATTAAACACCACCCTAAGCAGTGGTATAAATTTTCTAAACTAATAAAATATTGTCGTAAATATATATATACATTTCAACCTAATGTCGCAAGAACCCAAAAAATTTTTTAAAATTCTATACGCTAGAGTATGACGAAGTAATGGACAATTTGACTTGAAAGAAGCACTTCAAACGCGAGAGGCCTTGGTATGTTCGTTATTGACTATGAAAAAGCTTTCAAAACTATTAAACATGATATGCTTATTCTACAAACAATTCTTCTATCTTTTGTCATCCGTGTTATTCAATAAAAATTCGGAAAAAAACTTTTAATATTTGATAAAGAACATAATGAAGGTGTCAAAGTGTATAGTCTATTATGTAAAAATATGAAATATGCAGGCAACACCACTCTCATATGGAGAGTAGAATTCGGCCCATATATCAACACTAATAAAACTAAATATATGATTATAAATTGAAAAAACATTTGTTTTAAAACTAACTCAATGATCAACACCACTTCTAAAAAAGGCTACAAAAATACCTTGGATGCTGTATCCATATATATTGTGTTTTTTCCAAAGAAATAAAATACCATAAGAGGCAGAACTCAATACTTCTCTCAAATATAAAAAGCTTTTCAAAAATAAAATTTCACTTTCTAAAATGATATGTTTGGTCAATACTACGCTATGTAATGAAAATCTAAACTTTAAAAATAGCGCATATGAACAAGCAAAATCGTTTGAATTATGGTTGTTTGGAAAAATATAAAAAATACCATGATCGGATCATGTTGCCTATAATAAAGTACGAAAAACAATACATTGCGGTTGGAAATTATTATTAACGACAGTATAAAAAAGAAAATCAGTGTACTTACAAATTCCAAATATAAGTCAATACAATTAATCATACAAAAAAATCGAAGAATTCAAAAGTTTTTAATATCACCAGAAAGCTATCCAACGATAACAACAACAGAAATGTGCCCTTATAGGATAACAACGGAAACGTTGTGACTATGGAAGAAGGACAATTAAAGATATGGAGCGACCATTTTAATAAGACTTTTAATGTGCCGCAAATTGGTCAACCTAGGCGACCTCTGTGTGATATAAATACTGAGCCTTCAACTAAACAAGAAATTGCATCAGTGATAAGTAAAACCGCTGACGTACACAAGATTCCAGCAGAATGCCTCAAAGCTAATGTTAATTGTACTACGGATATTGTATATCCCCTTTTTAGAGATCCCTTTATGCAATATTTATCGACTTAGAGAAAGCATATGATTCAATTAAGTAAGGCTGTATATGGCTAGCCTTACGAACAATGGGAGTGCCACAAAAGATTATAAATATTATAAAAAAAAGCTACGAGCAATCAAAATGCAAAGTGCTACATAATGGCAAGTTAAGTGACTCTTTTCACTCTACTACAAATATCAAACAAGGCTGAATCCTCTCGCCACTGTTATTTATCGTAGTTCTAGACTGGGTGCTTCAAATTTTTGGGACGCAAAATAGAGGCATCAACTAGAGGCTTAACCATAGCCTTGAAAATTTAGAATACGCAGATGACATCGTGCTACTCTTGCATACCTACCAGCATACTCAGTCAAACTTACACAGCTGTATAATGAATACATGAAAGTTGACTTGAAGATAAATATAAGAGTAACTGATTCTTTGCGCAGTGTGAATGACGCGAACTTACCTGGGAAGTATAGTTCTAAAACTGAAAAGTTAAAAACAATCCGCTGGAAAGCTTAGTTTTAAAGTTGAATTCCATATACCATAGTGATAAAAATATCATTTTTATCAATGATTCACATAACAGTAACAAGAATTATATCAACAGATATTTAGCAAAACTTAATTAAGTTTAGCATTGGAAGACCCTTTTTTATTTAAGAGTCTAAAATTATATTAAAGACTAATTATGTGAATCAAATAAGTCATTATCAACTTGTTGCCTTAAAGTGCTTTTTCGTATATCAATTTATTATACCATAGATGTCTATACTTTTAAATATTTTTTTTATTACCATATGTGTTTCAATTTACTCTAAAGGTTCAAAACAATACAAAATATTTCCAATTTTTTTAAATTATATTTTCAATTTCTTCACTTTACTGTGCAAATATCTTTCGGCTATTTGTAAATATAATAAATTTTGCAATAAATGAGCTTCAAATTAACCTTACGGCTAGAATAGCTGCCAAAAAAATAAGATTTTTGAAAAATTTCTTTGCACTTACAAGTATTTCAAAGATACTTAATTATTTCTTGGCAAAAAAATTCAAAGAAACCGCACCAACTCTTAAAAATATGTACTCTAGTGTATTTTTATATATTTTTATTTTTCATATTACTCACTTCTCCTCTCTGACGTTCACTAAAGAACGAAGTTTAACAGCAATTTTATGCTTGAACAACTGTTGCTTCACAGTTTTAGAAAGGAAAGCAGCTAGGATTTAAGCAATGGAAGAGCAAACTTTATCTTAACATTTGAAGTGAAAACCTTAAATGGATGTCGATTAAAGAGAGAAAAAAAATTAGGAAAAACTTAAAAACATAAAAACTTTGAAGAAAAAGTTTTTATCAAAAAAATTTACACTTGAATATTTTTTTATTATATAAACTTTGTATATTAACTTTTATCCGTACAAGGATAACAAATTTTTGCTATAATAAACAGAAGAGAAGAGAAAAGTAAAGCAATGAAATATCAACGCATATTCTAATTTCATTTATACTACTCGTATATATTTAACATTTGAGGCAATAAAATAATATTTTTAAAATTTGCCTGTTCATCTTTCATAATTTTTTATTTATATTTTTTCTTTACTGCAGAAACAAGAAAAAAGACGCGAATTGCGTCTAAAAAGATTTTGGCGTTCGCCGAAAACCACATCATCCGAGGACTCCACAGGATACGAGAGCCCAACACGCACCAAACCAACAAATGATGCACAGCGCTTCAATCATTTGCATTACCACAGTTTGGCGCAGAGTGCACCTTCCGATCACACAAGCAACAAGCCAACATGTTCATTGCCATTGCTGCAAGTCTGGCCCAGTCAGGTAGGAAATATCCTTAGGAACGCATCGTCAAATGTTAAATGTGTTAATGTGTGCCTTTTGCGTTTAAGTATTGTTTCGAATAATTGTGTTCGTATTGTTATTGTTTCATTTGAATATTTTGAATATTGTATTGTTTTTGTTGTGAAATATAATTTGCATTAATTTAATTTAATTTAATTTATTGTTCTTTTCTTTTATTTGTTGTCTTAAATCTTTTGTTCTGGTTTAATTGGTGAAATGTTAAGCCGATTTTGCGACAGGAGGGCTTTGTTCAATTGCGTCGAAACAGCGGCCCCGAAGGCCAACGGGTATGCGTGTGTAAAATAATTATTTAACGTACTAAACCCCCTCCCGCCTTTTAATAATTAATTCTGCATGTTTCAATATTTTATTCACTTTATCAAATATCGATTCTGTATGTAAGAATAATAAAATTTTAAAATGTAAAATATTTAATATAAAATTTTTTTATAACATTTTTTATAAACGTTATCTTCGCTTTAAATTTTTTTTAAATATTAGTAAAATAAAAAATGCTTAAATAGTAAGCATATATATTAAAATTTTGCACCAACAAGAAATCCATTAATTTAGAGGAATAATTGTACAAATCCTCTAAGATTAAGTAACTTTATCCCATTATTATTATTATTGATATGGCACTACGACCGTCGGGTCTATTGTGTCGCCTTCTGTGTTTAGAGTATGTCTTCAAGCCCTGTTAGTTCGATAAAGAGTAGTATAGAACATACTGTACAGAGTTTAATTGCATCTTTCGTAAGGGTATACATTCCCAGAAGTCTATTTCGTATATGTTTTAAAGCAGGGCATTCTAATAGCACATCTGTGGCTGACTCTTCATTATTTTCGCAGAATCTACAGTTTGTATCCGTATATATGCCCAATAAGGAGGTATTTCAGTTTAATTTTTTTAGGAAACTTAATAATTGAGAAGTATGTTATTTATATTTTGTACCTATTTTTTATTACTCCCAGTCTCGTAAGGTGGTACTTCATTTTAATTCCATTTATAATTTTATATTATATAATTTTATAAAATTCCCATTTAAGTTAATAATTGAGAAGTATATTATATATATATATTGTACCTACTTTTAATTACTCCATTTGCTAAGATATGATACTTAACAATTTTCTGATAAGTATGTCATTACATACTAAAGATTCTCTTGATCGGAGACACACTCATCCAAAAGAGATTAAGTTGTTGTAAAAAATGATTTTCATTTTAGAAAATTTGTCCAACCAAGAGGCGAACCTGTTCAAGTTGAGTGTGTGTTAAGAACATTTTAACTGTACGATTTAAGATATGGGTTTAGACATGTATCTTGCACTGTTAAAAAATTAGTCTTAAACTAAAAAAAATTAAAAAGACATCAATAACACTTATGTAAATTAACTTTTTTATTTAACAATTAATAAGTAAACAATTTAAATCAAAACGAAATGCAATATCCGGTTTTCCGATTTCTCAGGCACACCGATTTGACAATAGATGTTATTAAATATCAATATTCTCAGTATATGTATATTATTTTGATAAATTGAGGAACTATCGAGTACCAATAACAGATAAGAAATAGATTTCACATCTTTCATTATGATTGTATAAATGACTGAGACACATTAATGACATTGTGAGATAGAATTAAAAAAAGATGCTTAAATTATCTTTATAAAAGATAAAGATTACTGGCGGTTGTGTTTGTGCATCATTAATTTTCTAGGGCTCAACTATATAGGTATGCCTTCACTTATTATTATGGGTACTTTTACATCTAATATATATCTATTCTCTATCATCAGTGGAGAAAGACATATTGTCCTTATAATATATCACTATGGCTTGTATGAATACTGCTAAGGCTAGTTTAAATTAAAATTCACTATATAAGATATCCGGCGCACATGTAATATCCATTTCCACAATGTATATATATATATACACATAAAACTATTGTCCCACGTTCTTACATCAACACTAACTTATCGTCATTGATACGGTTAGGTGAACAATAATTCTGAGATAGATTGTAACAGTGTATATAACATACGCTGCACCAATAGTAGCCCCTTTATGTAGTGTATATCTGAGTTAGACATGAAATATACGTGGCACTTTCATATCGATTTTATACACATAATTAACTACACAACTTGTCAGGGAAGCGGAAGAAATTAAACATAGTTATGTATTGTGAATTTGATATTTACATTTATTTAATATTACAACATAGTTTATATATTTAAGTTCGCATATTTGAATACACAGTTTTGGTTGTGAAGATGGAATAAATATAGCAGGTTAATGAATTATGAATTTAATTTAATATTTAAATTTAGTGTAGTGGTTATCCGTCTTAAATAACTATCTAGGCCATGAGCAAGGAATCGAGGTATTTTTCCATAGTCATATGAGTTATCCCATTTGATACCCATTGATGTATATAGTTGCTTATACAAATAGATTTGCTCTCCCATTTTCAGCTACGTTATATAAGTTAAGTCCACACGACCCGCAAACTTCTGATGCTTATATATTGATGTATCGGGGTCGTTCTTGGCATCCTCCATTATCATGCGTGGGCACCCCCTTCCGATACATACGAAGCCCACACCGCATGATACACAAGTGGTCATTAGTATTCTATGTTTTGTGGACAAGTTCTTAATGGGCTGAATGTTGGTTGCGTAAGGACTGGAATAATGTATCAGAGCGTGAGAAGGTAGGAACCCCCCTGCGGCACGTAACAAGGCTGAGAACTTCTCATAGCTGTACACAATATTACGTAGATACTTTTGGGGCTCAGAACTGTCCGACAGCAATTTTGGATAGGGCGCACTATCCTCTGATGAATATTATTGAATATATTCTGTTGGGAAAGCATGCTAATATAATGAGTAGGGTTAGATGTTGCTGGTCTGCTGGCTTGTGTAACTCAATACCAAGGTATGTAATTCTCTGCTTACGTAGTCATATAAATACCTATTAGCCAATATCTGACTCATATATAGATCGTGGCGTAGATATGGATCACTGGTTCTATGGAGTACCCTCTGCAGATAATACAAAATTGTGCTCTTTTTAGCTGCTGCACTTACATGAGATATGTGATAAATCATACGCTGTGAACTGGAGGATTTCTGATACAATGATATACAGAATTTGTTTGCTGCATGTATGATATTATAGTCAAGGTATGAGAGTGCAGGTAGGTTATCATACCTCTCATTTATGGCCTCCATTTTGTATGTTACCTCATACCCAGTCCATTTCTAAAACACAACCATGAAGTTATCTAAGAAAGCTCTAGACAAATATAGAAGTATGTCGTCGACATATTTCCACATACGCCATTAACTAAGAATATTGCTTTATAATGAATTTCTAGTTTGGAGTCCAAATGACATAAATTGCGGTTAGCTGACCGCAATTTCCTCCTTGAGGAATCCCTTCCACCTGTTGCTACCACTCAAAGTTAAAAAAGAAGTAATTCACCTTTCTTAAAATATAATCAAAAATGTGCTTCAACATGGATATCTCTATCGGACATCTTTCTCGAAACCATCACTGTCTCATTATGTTTTGTAAAGTTTTCCATAAAGGGGAAATTTGTGTACGTGGATACACATCTCTCACGTCTATAGATTATCATTTATCTTTTCTTAGGTTATAGATCCAACAAATGTCTTGTTAAATCGTCCATATTCTTTAGGTTGTGCTTGGACATCCGTTCACCAAGTGTTGTTTTAAGAAAATATTGCCACAGTTTGTGAAGTGGCCTTGTGTACCATGACACAGGACTGCAAATAGGCCTTATCGGATTATCGGTCTTGTGCACTTTCAAATTACCATATAAATAGGGTAATTCAGGTATTCCTGTTCATTTCGCTCATAGTTCCTTATATATCTTGTAGGGAAATAGTTGTACATGTCTCTTGTAAAGATTGAATAAATGGTACGGTCTGTATACATTGTTCTCCTGATGCTTCACCATTACATCAGGAATTTTGTGTAATGAATTTCCAGCTCAGTTCTGCAATATAATCCTAGGTCGATATGATTCTCTTTATAAGCCTCAGCATAGTTTTTCAATATCACCACATAATCCTGTCTATTAGATGGCTGCAAAGGCGAATAAAGAAGCCCAAAACTGAGCGATTTCTCTAATTTTATGGGCACTCTCATTCCATTCATATTCAAGAAGCCTCATAGTGTGGCCTTAGTATTCATCTAATCCCTAGGCAATTTTCCACCATAGACACCAAATTAAAATGTATCGCCGGCATTAGTTAAATATACTTCTAGATTAGACAAAGGCCTGGATGGCATACTCTCCTCTATTACAGCTCTTGTCTCTCTTATGGGATGTACATCAGGTGAATGTGTAGATGTTACCACTTTCCTAGGGTATTGATTAGCGGAAGAGGTGGGAGATCCATTCCCTTTTGCGTTACAATCTTGACGACTTATGCTCCGAATCTCAGATTTTAGAGTTTTGTTCAGTGTTAACAATACTAGCCCACCCACAATTTTTCTTTCTCTTTGCATGGCACCTCCCAAGGCAGTATCCAAGGTTTTAACAAAATCCTCATCACTCGAACCACTCTCCATTGTTTAGATGTAAAACGAGTTTCTATAATAAAAAAATATAATATTAATATGGTAGTATGTAGGATTAACCTTTAAAAGAACGATGACGATGCGTATATGCTATACTCGGATAAATGTGCTCTCAACATAACCAACACACTTCAAGAGCATGTGAACCTCATCCGTGAGTATTTCCAGAAATAAAAAATAAAAATCAATTATGAAAAAACTAAGGCTCTGTTTATTACACGTAAGTGAAAACAGAAACCGTCGAGAGTGGGTATGGGAGATATGTGAATAAACTGGGAGGATAGCATTAAATATCTCGGCTTCACGTTGTATAAACGATTCACATTGTTTAAACATGTTCAACAGAAAAAAAATAGCTGGGCCAAAATTCTTCATCACCTCCAATCGCTATTCAAAAATAAAAATCTCAATGCTAAGAACAAGAACCTGATATACAACCGAATAACATTACTATTCGTCAGCTAGAAATTCCACAAAGCCAGGCTCTGAGAACACTTTTCAAAGTACCTTGGTACATTAGGACGAATGACATACTCAGAGATCTCAAGATATATAGTGATGGATATGTCTTAGATCCATTAATTATTTACATAAAACAGGAAAATATAATTTTATTGATGATTCAAATTTCAATAACAGTTTCTACAAAGTAATAAATAAACTGCCTCTTTATTTCTTTAAGTGTCAGCTATCTGCATGGTCTTTATTTTGTGGATATTCAAAATAATTTTTGGAAGGTATTTAATGTTTTTTGAAGTTTTCAATGACAAATAGTTTATTTCGATACAGTAGAATCAACTATATACTTTTCAAGACGTTGCTGAATCAACGCAGCATTTTTCACACTAAAAAATTATTGATATTTCAACACATAAAATTCGAATTTTTTCAAGTTTTTAAAACTAACAAAAATAACACCTTATTTCTAAATAATAATATTCCTACATAAATAGCACATTATTGAATTACAAACAATTCTCGAATTTAAAGTACTTGTACGAGTCCGATTTCTTCGATAAATTTTAGTTAAGTGCCTACTGAGTGTCATTTTTTATTCGGTGTTGAAGTACCAGGAAAATTTCTAGCACGTCTATTGCGGTCTCATAATCTTCCCTAAAAACTGACAAGTTTCATTACAACAAGTTCGCAGTTTTGTAATATAATAATTCAACCTAGAGAGGTCTGACAAGATTCTAGTAACGTTTCTTATAGGTAGTGCAATTATAATTATTTGAAAATTTTTTAATTAATTAAAAATTATTGTTATTTTTCGCTATACAATAGCAATAAATAATTAAGTATTTTTTAAACAAATTATAATATTAATTATATATAGAGAAATACTTATTTAAGACAGGTAAAAATAATAACTTTTATTTAAAAAGTTTTAAATTAAATTTCTCTATTGCAGTAAATATTATTTAGACTATGATATTTATTAAGTATTTTTCAATCAAAATCTATTATTATAATAGATATATTTTTATAATGGATATCTTGTTTGTGCAACAACTGCAAATATAAAATTATCAATCCGAAAATATTTATTTTGGCCGCCATGAAGTATATTTTATTCTATGCAAATAATATTCGTAAACTTTTATGTGCATATTCTTAAAATATATATTTATGTAACATGCAATATAAAGTGCGTTTGCTAAAATTAATAATTTTTTTATTATATTTTTTTATATTTAACATACACATTTTTAACTATATATCTCACACATCATAAAACTCATTTCTTCCTTTGTAAAAACAACCCGCAAAGCTTTTTAACCATAGTTTGTTCTGTATATATAGCTTACTTAGTATTGCTTATAAAATTTTTTAATAAAATTATTATCACTCATATCTTGTACCAATATACTAGTATAATAATAAACACATATTTTACTCACATTTTAAAATTTGTAATAAAAAACACAATTCACTTGCTTCCTTAAAATTTACCTCTAATGTTCTTTCTGTGCACTTTACTCCTCTTACACTACATCTAAAATTAACCAAATCAATAATTACTACCACTTTGTCAATGTAAATGTATGTAATCATTACAGGATTCCCCCCGGGGCGAAGCCGATGGTCAGTCATTCATTTTCCCTGCCATTAATGAAACAAGCACAAGTAGTAGTAGCGGTGGTGGGGGCAGCAGCACAGGTGATAGCGCAGGTGGTAGTAGTACTGCAACAAGTGCCACAACAACCACAAGCAGTTCTGGTGCCACAGGCAACAATAGTAACAATGCACTGAATAGCAATAATAGAAACAAAAGCCTAGGTAACCATCTAACACTAAACACAGGTGAACGTCGTAATTCACTCTACTGTGATACACTACATGCAGGTGACTCAGGTATTGATTCAGTGCAAGCCTCGCCATCGCCAAATGCACTACCTCCACCTCCAGGTACTTCGCTACTTATTGGTAACATAACAGGTGGCTCTTGCAATGTATCGCCTGCCACCACTCCAACGCATGGTTCACCAAATCTCTCCTTGGGTTGTGGACGTATGGGTGCACGGGCCAGCATAAGTGTAGGCGCTCCAAATTACCGAAGAAAATCAAGCGCTTTACTGCATCCAGATCATGCACGTCTATTTGCGCTACGCATGAAACATGCAGCAGCATTGGAACGTGCACAAACTTCACCAGATCAAACATCCATTGAAGATACGACTGAATTCCATGACAATGGCCTCGCTACAAATTTACGTTTATGTTCGGCATCATCATCGACAACATCGTCACTAACATCGGTCGCCGCGGTTAGTCTTGGCGGCGGTATCGGTGTTGCGTGTTCTTCTTCATCCTCTGCTGCCGCAGCAGCTGCACTGGCTGCTGCTGCCGGAGCGGGGACACAGCAACGCGTCTCCGATCCATGGTTGTTGCCTCAATCTGATCGAGAGCAAGACTCCAGACATCATGGGCGACGCCGTTCCTCAACAGCAACGGCACGTTTGTCGCTCTTCGATGCATTGGATTTGGAGTATGCGCTACTGCGTGCAGCGGCGCGTGGTTCTGTTGGACCATATTCGTTAAGTGAATCCATACATAAACTAACATTTACACAATCATTAGCGTTTCCGGCACTCGCGCGTGGTCTGGCCACAAAACGTAGACGTTCCGCTACTTATACGAGTTCGCGGCCGCTCAATCCAAATGAATCCGGTTTGAATACCTGCGCTAAAGTCATCACCGCCGTCATTTTAGTTGGTATATCCTTTATGGTATTTTTTGTGGTATACAAATTTGTGCGGACGTGAGGTTTACTCCTGGCTCCGACAGATTTTCCCGTCACATATCAAAATGCATATCCACTCACAACGGGAAACGCTAATGCCACTAAGCAACTGTCGGGGCTCAGGAGAGTCTTGGGTCTTAAAGAACGAAATTAAAAACAAAAAATAATTAAATAAAAATCAAAGTGAAAAAAGAAATCGGAAGTAGGTGCAATAAAGAAAATGCACAGAGAAGCGCAAAATGTGAGAATTGTGATAAAAAAAAAAATAAAAATAAAATTCATATAATTCGAACAAAATAATGTAAATTAGAAAAATAATATACAATTTTTTAAAACTGCTGAATTTGTATTAATAACTTTTTTTTTGCGTTCAATTTTATTAATAAAAATATTGCTAAACATTAATAAGTTTTTAAACAAAAATATGTATATTAAAAATATAAGTGAAAAATGTGAAATCAGGTTTTCATTATTATTATTATAAAATTACATAAATAGCGGATACTTTTAAGTCTCTACTTATTGTTATAGTATGTATGATTATCCGGCTTATGAAATGGCATTGCCACATGTCAGCAAACAATGCTGCATCCCCTCGAACTCCCTACTATATTGCATTCGCTATTTCTAGTTTCCAACTCAAACTATGCAAAATAATCTGCATTCAATGTTTAACTTGCCAAAAACATTGCACTGCATTGGAATTTCCTTAGTTGGAAATTCTTTAGAAATTCAAGAGAATGAAGTTCAATCACGAGGATTGCACAACATATCAAATATAATAAAAAATTCAAATAAGAAACGGCAGCTGCTTAACAATACAAGATATCCTGCAATGAGTTCAAACATGTGTACAAGGTCTCATGTATCCTACATCCAAGTCTTAACAAAAGTTACTAAGGTTGATTCAAATTTCATATCAGTGTTAACACTTTGCGCCTTGCATCCTTATATGAACATTAAATTTTCCTTGAATTACTTTCATTAAAATATTCTTTCGAATAAGTTGCTTGCACCTAAGCGCACCCTGTATCTTTGGCTTATACATATGTATCCTAGATAACTCTTTGCAATAATAGCAAACAATGTAGCGAACAGGAGTATATTTCATACATATTGTATTATATTATAAGCTTCGAAGGAATTCCTTTATCTATTTGCTTTGTTAACGTTTATTGTTAGTAAAACTTTTTTCCTCTTAACTCTACAATATTGTATTTCTACTAAAAGTGCCTATTTGACTTACAATCTGAACTTTACCTAAGCTTCGAATTTAAATTTAATGCTAAAATAAAACTAATAATAAAAACGTATAATATACGTATATTGAAAGATAAGAAAAACTTAATAAAATTTCTATGCTGACTTCTTATGTATAAGTTTTTATAAAAGAATATTACATATAATAAAATACCTACATATACAAATATAAAAATAAATATAAGCTAAGAAATTATAAAGTAGCTTTTATATATAACAAATAATAAGTATATAGAGTACGCCATATATTAGATGATAATATATTAGAAATCAACTAAAAAAACAATAAAATGCTGACAGGTTGATTATTAATAAGCTTAATAATATTATATAAAAACAATATCTACTTTCATAAATAAATAAATAAAATAAATTTCAAATAATTGTGCACCGCAGATTTTTTTTGTATAATAAATAAAATATGAATAAAAAGCGAATTTTTTGCAAATTTATTTGGATTCATATTATTTATAGTTTCATTGGAATTGATACTTTTTATTCAACATTGGTTTAATTTTTTAAACCAGTATATCTCTCATTCATAAGATCTATTTGGAGACAAACAATTTTCTTTTTAATCCCTTTTTTCAAAATAAAAAAAGTGGAATAAGACATAGATATGTCTCTTATTACATAAATAAAATGAAATACGTTTCATATAAGTACGGAATTATATATTTAATCAAATAAATAATCTTTATATGATTGATTTTTATCTCCGGAAAATCGGGAATAAACGCTGAGAGTTAAATTAGATGAATATTATTCATTCTCAAAAAATAACAAGTGTTTTTAATTTTTCTATAAAGAATCTTAATCTTCAATGTATATTCTACGAGTATTCCTGTCAAAGTAACTTTCTCTTGATATAATACACTGATACCACCATCCCAGACATAGCCAAGGTAGGCAATGTCTACCATAAAATTGTGTCCAAATTAATTTGTGATAGTGAAAAGAGGGCTTATTGGAACAAACAATTTCTCGCTTTTAAATAGATCTATAATGAAGGAATAAGGATGTCCATTATCAGATAGTTGTGTGCAACAATTGAAATTAGATTCCCGATGTAAACATAATTTTTTTCCTTATAAGTTTTTATAAAAAAAAATTCATCAAATTTACCCCTCTCTCTTAACCTGCTAGCTGTGTCCATGAACACCATAGTTTGAAACGCGTGTTTAGATGCTTATGGTCTTGATCTACAATTACGCCCTTATCTATTTTTGAAGAATTCTGTCTTTTGAATGTCGTTTTGAATATGAGAAATAAAAAAAAATCGTGGAGGATTACTCGCATACCATAATTAGTTTTTAATTTTATTGCTAATATTTTACTAAGCAAGTATTGCATGAACTTCAGATATTTGTTTAGTTTAGTCTAGGCAAAAAGAGTGATATATGTTAGGGTCCCTTACATATTCCAACATTTATTCAATTTAAAATATTTTTCCACTTTTCATCGCTTAAAAAATCTAAAAGATGCAAGCAATCTCTGGAGTCTTTTTAAATGCTTTGTAGTACTAATAGATTTTTTGAAAAACATATTTTATTTTCTCTAATTTTCAGTTAATTTCCTAATGAGGTACATTCGATATGCAAAATTTATTAATAATAATTCACAATAATTCTATTGTAAATAAGCAACTTGTTTGGTAGATCGTGTTCATTTTTAGTTTAGATATTAAGTGCAATATTCCAATTTACGGATATAGATTTATTAAAAGAAAAACTTTTTTGAGCCTTCGTCCACTGCAATTATAAATAATTTTATTTGCATATTATTCGCTTGAATGACTGTCTTGGCGAAACAAAGCTCCATCATTTGTCCATCATTTGTAAACTAAAAAGTTTTGCGCTAATTAAAAGTTCAATTTATTTAGTTACATTGCACAGGGCAATTACTTTACAGCCTATTTCCAAATCAGAAACATACCTAAAAATCAATTTTGGCTGAAAGTAGTCTACCTCCTTAACGATCTTTTAAATTTTAAATCGTCTGTTTTGATTATTTTGATGTTTCCAGAGTATTAGTGGTAGATCTTTATTTCAACAACTATTTGAAATCTGCAATAAAAAATTAACCTTGTTTTGCCATTTTAAATAGAGTGAACTTTAGAAATAGTTATGTGATTCCGGTTTCAGGTCAGGATCATCTAGTTTTTAGTGGAAGATCATCTAATATCATTTAAGTTGATGACTGTTTAGAGCCATCCTAAATGGTAATCTGTAAGTAAAGTAGTATGCTTGAAGTCAATTAAAGTGTCCACTTCATTAGCAAACTTTTTGTATACTATTTGTATACTATGAACATCCAACACCATTTGAAGCATTTTTCAGATGTTTTCTTCAGTAATAACAGTTTTAGCTATCCATTTTAGTAATCAGTAACTAAACTAGTATGACAGTTTCATGTGATAAGATAGAGTGTTTGTACATTTTATTTTTTTTTTCAGATTTGAATTAAAACAAGGTATTTGTTTGACTACATTTTTCAAATCGGCCAATTAAAAAAATGTTCTAAATAATTTCGACAATAAAAGCATCAGATTTTTTTAGGAGTGCATTCTAAACCAATGTTCGTGGAACATAATACTAACATCATTCTTTAAAATTAAGACAAATACCTTCAAAGATGTTAAACGGTATATTTCGCATACAACAAGTTATATATATATATATATATATATATATATATATTTATAAATGATCTGAAGTCTGCTAATCAACCTTTTAGAAACATGTCTCTAATAATATAATTTCAAGTTTTGTAGAAATGGTGCACAATTTTATTATTATTTTTTTTTTTTGAAATTGTAATAATAAACTTTAAATAATACTTGTATCTAATTATAGTTAGCCTGCCTCAATATAACAATATTCTCACTAAACTAAGAAGGTAGTCTAGATTTGTTGTTAAGGTTTAAATTTCACAAACGCTGAGTATAATGTGAACAATAATTTTAAGGCAAATAACAAACAAAAACTATTTAAAAAAAAAGCTATGAAAATTCAACAAATGGGAATTATGTTACCATAAAAGGTACAATAGTTGATAGCTAAATATAAATAATTATATTACAAAATAAATAAAAATATTATAAAAATTATAAGAATATTTTAAAATATTTGTTTACTTTCTAGTTGTAAATGCTTCTGTCATAATTTTATAAAAATTATATTGGCAAAGAAACGACAAACGAAAAAATATTCTAAATGTTCTTTAAATGCCTTCAACCCAATTTTCTCCTTAAACATTTTTTATAATTAATAAATTAATTGGTATTTTATTAAAAATAAGAGCTGATATAATATTTTTATTATAAATCATATTATTAAAAAGTTATATTTAATAAAAAAATATTTTTTCAAATTTAATACGAAAAAGAAGCATTATTTGATTATTAATTAAATTATTAATTAATTAAAGAATTAATTAAGTTAGCATAAGTTTCTACATGCAAACAAAAAAAAATCAATAATTAAATAACCAAACTCTATGGGCACTCAAAAAAGTGTTTGAATAAGATTCATTAATATTTAAGCAATAAAACTAATAAAACTTTGAATGTAAACAATTAAATTAAATTTGATATGAAGATTGATGATATGGAAATTTCAAAACAGAAAAATATTTCTGCTATAAAATATATGTAAAACATTACTTTAATAAAATTCATACAATATTTATGTAAAATAAAGTGTAAAATTCAATTTATAATCCATATTTTTATTTTTCCAAATATTTACAATTTAGTAGAATATAATCATTCGTTTTGTAAATGGGGTCTCTTTATAGATAATATAATACGAGTATATACTTCTATTAAGACGACTGCAAAAAACACTGTTATTAATCAATTGATTTTTGCTGACTTACCATATAAAAAACTAAAAATTCGGCTATGAAACTACTGAAGAAGATCCTAATAAATTTTAAGAGCCTATTTACAATATACGCTTTAGGCTTTATCCATTTACTTATGAGACTGTTTACACTGTTCCTTT